AAAAAAAAAATTATTCCGGTACGATTATTTTTTCGACCAATTTCCCTGCCACATACACTCATCCATACACGGACGTCTAGAAAAGATTATGTTTAATGTTATTATTTATTATGTTAAACAAAAAAATTGTTATTGAAATATATTTTATGTGCCTGACAAATTATTTGACTTGATATAAGTATACTCATATTAATCTGTAAGTGCGATATAAATAACAAAAAATCAATTTCAGTTTCGAGAAAACTGCTTTTTTTGAAATGTCGAGAGTAGAGCACAACCTCAACGCTTCGCTTATGAGGCGTGCAATATCCAAATTGTAATGAGAGAAATTATTCATAATTCTTAGTTAATACTTCACCAAAAGACATGTGTTAATTATATTAGAGACAGTCTAGTTTGATAAATTTTGAAATAAATACATGCAGTTACCAAAAAAGTTTTCGAAAAGTTCTTTGAAACTATCTTCGTTTAAATTTTCTTTTGTGCAAGTATTTAAAGCTCAATAACTTTTTACTCGTTAAGATTACGAAAAAACTACCTCACTTTTTTGTAGAAAATTAAATTTCCTACAAGAATAATTGACGAAAAATAAAAAAAAAATTTTTTTCGTAGTTTTACTGGATGAAAACGTAAATAAAATTTTTTTACGTGTTATTTAAATGGGAAAATAAAAATTCATTGAGCTTCATGAAGAATTGAGATATCAAGCTGCGCTTTGAAGGGAATTTTTTTTATGCCTTAGAGAAGTTTTGAAGATGATAGGCAAAAAACTTTTTTTTTTTGGACCACTCTAATATATACATACATACATACATACATACATACATACATACATACATACATACATACATACATACATGCATACATACATACATACATACATGCATACAGGCACTATCGTGGGAGGAGTCAGGGAAGCTTCTTAGGACCTCAAAACCTCAAACCTCAAATTTAAAAAAAAAATTCAATATTTACCTTCATTATACTACGTGGAGTTTTATTTGAAATAAGTAAAAATTATTTTAATAAATTCGACCAATTTTTCATGCAAAACAACACTTTCAACAATTATCAAAAATATATATTTTCATGTTAAGAAAAGTTTCTTAACACAAGTTTTTTTTTTCAATTAACATTTTTTGCCAAAATTGAAAAAAATTTCAATTCTAACAATTTTATCTTCCAAAACAAAACATTAAATTTTTTCGCTCCTTAAATAATCTGAAATTCCTCACATTAGACAACGTTAAAACCACTAAAACAATTCCTTAAAACCCACGTAACCTGTTTCCTCGACCTCGGATTCTTGATTTTTCAATGACTCGAACCTATTACCAAGGAGCCTTCCTGAAAACCAAAACAAAACAAAACAAAACAAAACCTGGGATGAATCAGCCGAATCCTCAGCAGGTGTATTGGTGCGAAATTCTTCACGAGAGAGCGCGCTGGCTCCGAATTTTACAATAAAAAAACCTGAATATCAACAAAACACACACTAAGCAATCTAACTGAAATATCAATCGAATATTAATACATAACATGTAAATCCTTCACAGCATAGAGCCAGTAGCACAGAGAATGCCTTGGGCACGTTATGAGACCCATTTGTCCCCCACCTCGCCCCTACCAGGCCGCAAAAGGCTGTCGCGTTCCATCCGACAAGCTACTACCAACGAGCTAACAGTACAGTTAGCGGCTCCACGCAGCTCAGGTCGTTCCAGCTGTGCACAGGTTTTTAACGCAACAGATGCCCCTATAATTTATTTATTTAAAAATGGAAATTGCAAGTTAACCATCATAACTAATTGTGTCTCATATATCTCCAAGAAAACTCAGTCTCGCTAAAAATTATCAATGGATAACCTAACCATGACTGTTACGTCCAGTTTAAGTGGCAACAATAATATTAACATTAACAACATCAATAACAATAATAATAATAATAATAATAATAATAATAATAATAATCATCATAATCATAATAATAATCATAATCATAATAATAATAAAAATAATAACAATAATTGCAAAAATGAAGGTAATAGTGTGTCAGTGGCAGTAGCTCCCCTTCCAGGATCAGCAATCACCGGAGCAACGGTATACGTTCCAGATCCAACCTTCAAACTCTTACCAGGATCCTGGGGAGCATCTAGTCCTTCGGATTCTTCAAAGATTTCAAGTCCGGTTCTCGAAACCTCCCGCGAATCTTATCAACCAGCTCACGTTGTTAAAATAAAGATAAATCCGATATTATCAACCGATTCCAGTGGAAAAGTGATATCAAGTGTTCACCTGACACCGGATGCTGTTAAAGATTCGACTGTGCACAAAGTGGAGTGTTTCGTAAGCCGAAATAACAATTACAATAATATTATTAACGACAGTGGCAGCATAATTGGTGATTGTGTCCGAATAAGCGTTAACGATTCCGAAGAAATGGTCCAGCGAATGCCTGAAAGTTGCTTCTACTACGGAAATTACCAGACCAATCACAACAACGGAAGTATTTTGACGATGACCAGTGGCCAATGTTCGCCCAGTGACACTCTAGACAGTGGAACCTGCAGTGATTTGGACGGAACCCCTCCGCCATTGCCGAAAAAGAAGAGCCAGTCGGTTATTTTGCTGGAGCAGACTGGTGAACAAAATGGCCGTGGTGGAGAAGATGGTGGAGACATTGCAATTGAAAGAAACGGACACACTAGAACTGGAAGCTTGACAAGCAGCGGGGCCGAAATAGATAGCGATGATAATGAGAGCAATGTTAGCTGTGATTCTCTTAATCGGCGGGCGCAAATTAAGGAAGAGGAAGTTGTTAAAGATGGAGATCAAGATCAAGATGGTGAAGAGATTGTCAGTAAGCTTAAGGAGGTTGATTTAGTTAATGGTAATGATAATGATGATTATGATAATGACAATGAGGGTGTCCTTTTGAAGATTACGAATATTTCGACGGGAACCGAGTCCAAGGTGGAACCGTTGAGTAACGGGCAGCGGTCGTCCAGTTGTCAATCTAACGCTAAGCCTGGAAAGATGACGCCGATGATCACCGAGTGCACGTATGAAGAGCGCAAGCGAGAGATTGATTGTGGAAGTAATGGTGTTAATAATAATAGTAATAGTAATAATAATAATAATAATAATAATAATAATAATAATAATAATAATAATATTAGTAGCAGTAGTATTAGTAGCAGTAGTACTAGTAGCAATAATAATGGTAGTTGTAATAATAGCAATGAAGATGATAGAAACAGTGGTAATGAAGGCCAGGGGGTTAAGTATGTTTATGAGGACGACAGGTACTACAAGTTTCATATTAATGAGCTGGAGCCTGAGGGTGATGAGAAGAAAAAAGGGCTAGAGTGTGAAAACGATGAATTTTTCGCAGGATATAAAATTCTTGATAAGGAAGCCATAAGAAGTGCCAAGGGAACTGTCAGGGGAGTTAAAAATCGGGTTCGCGCTGGAATTGCTACTTTTTTGCAGAACCCTTCTTCCAAAGTGAGTTTTTTTTTATTTTTTCTTGGTGATTTGTTAGGAAGATGGCTTATTATATTTTAACTGGTAAAGAAGATGTATATACAGAAAAAAGTTTATTTGAGCCAAAAAAATTTTTTGGATGGCCTAAGTTGCTTTAGAGCAGGAAGAAATTTTCTCAGCTCAAGAAAATATTTTTGGCTCAATAAAACTTTACTTTAGTCAAGAGATTTCTCGTTTTCGGGAGTCAAGAAGAATTTTCTTCTTTCTGTGTGAAATTTTTCTTTGACTACCTCATGTTTTATTTACACACTTTTATTAGCTTGGCCTGTATGTACCTATGCAACGGAATCTTTAAATGTTATTTTTACCTTCAAGATGTCGGATTAATCGAAAATTTTCAATTTTATTTTAATGAAGTTTTTTTTATTACTATCGAATGTAATTATTTAAAAGTTTTCTTTGTTAAAAATTTTTTAGCGGAGTCGCTTTTTTTTTGGAAATTATGAAGAATTTTTTTTTTTACTCTCTAAAAATGAATCAGTGGAATTTCACTGTTTCACAGTTATAAGTCTACCAAGTGGTATACTTATAACTGTGAAACAGTGAATTTACTACTAATTTCCAGTGATTCTCACTGTTTCAGATTTAGAGAGTAGGAAAAAATTTTTTTACAGTGAGATTTCAAAGTAAACTAATTTTTTTGATGCAATTTCTGTCGAAAAAATAAATTTTATCGGTTATTGAAAGGAAAAAAATTGCTCAAGAATTGCGAATTGTCTTTTGATAAACAAATTTTGAAAAGTTTATAATTTTGTACTTGAAAATTATTTACTTCGGTTTCGAAGCTACCGTAAAAATTTTTTTAATTTCGCCGTATGAATTACTGAGAAATTATATTTTATATTTTACTCGCAGTAACTTCATCTTAGTATCCTGACCGGGTTCTTTTTTTATTTCATTAAAATATTACAGTCTCACGGTTATATGGTTCTTAATTGTACTAAAAAATATGAAAATAAATATTCAATCCAAACTAAACAGTAGAAAATAATTTTTAATGTTTTTTAATAAGTTTAAAATAAGAGTATAGTGATTGATAAACAATTCACTTCATTGTAAAAAATGGGTAAGGTGTTTTTAAAATATTTTTATAATAACTTTACTTTTACAAGTATATACTAACAAAATATTTCCCACAATTTCATCAAGCACCTCCACTGATCTCACAATGAAATGAATTTTTTTATTCATACTAATTTAATTTTAAACTTGTTGAAATTAATTAAATATTTATTTTTATTTCTCAATTTGATTTTCTATTGACAGTAATTTTTTTTTCTAAAGTTTGTAAAAAGTAGGATGATAAAAAAAATTTTTTTTAAATCTCCTTTTTTCGGTTAGAAAAACTTTTCGTTTACTGTTTGTTTTTACTCTCACTTTTGGATCGTTAGTTTATAATTAAGAGTTAGTAGACAATTTCGGAGCACTAACTATAGTTACATCGAAAATTTCATGTTCCGCATTAAAATTCTGAGCATAAAATGCTACTAAAATGAAATAACATAAAAATAACTGGTTAAAAAATGGTCAGGAAATTTCGCAAGTAAATAAAAAGGAAACAAAAGAATTTAATTGAATATTATCTTAGCATTGTTAGCTGTTAGTATGAACTATTTCTCTAGATAACTGGCTAGTGAATGTCATAAACAGGTACGAACTCATAAATTACTGTGCATTGATGCTTGAATCGTGATAGCCTTAAGGATTTATATTTCGAAAGTAAAACTGTCTCTAACTCTCCACACATAGATAATTATTATCGTGTACCGAAAATTGTTTATCCATTCAGTCAATACGAAAATTAACGCCTACACGCTTTCCCCTTTCTGTCTTAATTTCCATTTGCTCACTCACCCTAAAATTTATATCTCTTTTATTTAAATTACCGTAAAGGCCTATAAAGTAACTCTTTAATTAACTTTATTTTTATTTGTAATACAATTACTAGAAAAATTCTATTTATTTTTTTTCTTAATTGATACTTAAAAATGAAAAAGTCAATATTCACAAGATATTTTTTATCTTAAATATCTATTACAAAAATTACACCAAATAGATTTCAATATTACGATCCCAAATTTACATATTATTATGATAATTTACCAATCAAAACAAATTCTTTTCTATAATCGGATTGTTATTAAAAGATGTTCCTTGTGTAAAAAAATTGTAATTTTATGCATTAGAAACATTTTTCAACATAATGCATATATTAATGCAAAAAAAAATATTTCAAAATTTATTTCGGAAAGAAAATTTTTCAGATTATACTTGTATATTAACTTGTTACGGCCAGATATGTGACATGTTAATATAACGGTCTAACTGAAGCTAAAGCGTAGACTCGAAAGTACTTTTTACGTTAAACGTAAAGACTTAAATTGTTTCTTAAGCCAAAAATTTCGAGGTCTGTGACCTGAAGAATTTCGGTACGACATATAATATATGATTTATTTAAACTTTCTACGTAAATCAGCTTTAATTAACCAGTTGACCCGAGTAAATATTGTAATTTTCAATTTTAGTAAACCGGACCAGGATATTGCCTAGTACTCTCGAAAATTAAAATGAAAATTACTAGTAATTATTATTATATACAGGTAATTTGAATCTGAACTGTTTAAAGATATAAAAAAAGTAGTTGTAAAAGTTGGGAATTAAAATTATGAGGTAAATATTGAAGATACGCAAAAATTATAAAATGTACTTTTGGTATGAAATTAAATTTTCTATAAGAAAGGTCTTCATAAATTTTTTAATTTCTCCAATTCTTAAGCCAGAATATTGAATCAAAGTTAAAAGTTTGTTAAAGTTAAAAATTTGTAAGAAAAACTGTAACTCCAAAATTTGAAATCGTAGAAATTATTACTTATATTCCATTTTAATAAACTCAGTGTGAGAAACAGTGTAACAAAATTTAAATACCAATAACAACAATCATAAAAAATAAAGAAAAAACATTTAAATCTTTACAAAACAATGATTATAAATACTTCCATTAATTTTTTCCATAAACATGAGAAAAAAAAAATAAAAACAAAGTGAAAGTAGTCATCATTTGTCCCAATTCTCATGGTATGTCTGCAGAGTAATGACCTTTATATACTTGTCATAAAAAATCTCACCTTTAATCGATACATCATATCATACACATTACACACCATGATTCATCACCTTGACTTGACGACTGCCATAAAATAAGAATGCGAATTATTAAATACATGTCAAATAATGCCTTTCGATTCGTCTTAATCGATTTTTAGTAAACATGATAGGATATAAAAATTATATGTTGGGGGAACATAGTCACTTCCGGTGCAATAGTTTTGATAATTTTGCAACAGTGATGTGATGAGAGTAACAGACCAAATATTAAAAGAAAACAAAACAGTTAACACAATAAAACTAAAAAGGAGTCATGAGACAAGTGGATGACCTACTTATTTGATTTTTTATTCCTCCGGGCAAAGACTCGTTACACGCGTGCGTCAACATTCTTAACTCTACTCTTCATCATTATTATCGTTATCATCTTTAACTTATCTTATTCGTTTTTTATTATTTAACTAATAATGATAATAATAATAGTAGCAACAATAAATAAATTTTTGGTGTATTATTATTATTATGTTTTTTTTTATAACTGAAATGAATGTTATTGAATCGAAAATTAAAAAAATTAAAACTCAAGTTTATTGTAATTGATTGATAAAATCAGCAAGTGGGAAGCAAACTAATGATAATAAAATTTAAAAAGTGTAAAATTTTCTGGTTTGAGAAAATACTATCACTTGGAATGTCCAGGAGCCAAGAAGCTGGCAAGTCGAGAGCCGAGTCCCGAGTTTAAGAGGAAAAGAGAGAGACAAATCGGGTGGGAAAAGAGAAAGCGGGTCAAAGAGACCGCGACAACGACAAACGCAGAACGTTAACGACCAAATGTCAGACTCTTCATTGAATTCTTTATCTACTTATTCATTTTCTTTTGTTCAACGTACTTTTATTATTTTTCAACATGCTCATTGACTAATTTTCAATTCCAACGCATTTTAAATTTTCTCTTTACTTTTATTTGTAATTTTATTTACAGACACATGTTTTGAACGGTCAAGTAACTTCTATTTATAAAATAGCTCTTGTATGAAAGGTTATGGATGTATTATATTATGTTATGTAGGATGTAGAATATAGAGTATTGGATAGATATAGAATGAGGAATAGACCACACCTTGTCATCACGATTATGTTCGTATTCTTACCGGATCTTGAGATTACTTCGTATTCATCTACTATGTGTTCTTTGGATAATTTGATTACCTTTGATAAGTTCAAAGATGAGCAAATTCTCTTGATTTGTAAAAAATATTTTTTTACACGAACATTTTTATGAATCATTATTGATATCAATTTAAAAAATTATTGTTATTATAATATTATTATTGTTCTGTAGCTAATTCATATTTTTAATAATAATACTAAAATTTCTAAGTTTGACCTAGTTTAAAAAAAAACAATAAAAAACAAAATATCAGAAATCAAACATCAATATCTACAACAACTGCAATATCTATAATCAAACAACAAAGCCTTTCACTTCTATTCTGTAAATTCTTTAAAACTTAATCACAGTATAATACTTAATACTTCTACTTAACTTATTATATTATTTCATTACAACACACCAAATGAGGTTATCACCAGGTAAAAAATAATCGCAATTTCAGCCACTCAAAAAACAAGGCCACTCAGCTAAAATCAAAAAGCTTTTACACACCAATCAACAATACTTTTACATGAACAGCTTTCTTATATATTTGACCTAACTATGTACTTACGAGTATGACCGATTCTACACGCGCGAATCTAGCACTAGCACTTCTGTTCGGTTCTAATATGTATTACTATCTAACATAACTTGTAACGAAGTAGTACCACATTAGAGACTACAGACTACATAGATTGAAGGTAATTCCTGATTCCTGATTACCGGGCATTCATTAAGATTACACTTCACATTTACAAGCTCGTGCGTGACTCTCGCTGCTCACGACTCACGATTTCGCCTCCAGAATTTTTTTTTTTTTTTTTTAATAATAGTGTAACGTAACGTTTAAAAAGGTAAATATAAATTATACATGCATGTACTCGATAAAAATTTAATACCCGGAGAAAAAATGTGCGGTAACTCAGTATATAGGAAGTTATGTGTGACATTCTTTCCGTTGGAAATAATTCGCGGAAGTTCCACTTGAAACTTACTTGAGTAGTTACAAATTTTTTTATTAAATTGAATTTATCGCAACAGTCGTACACTAATACGAGCATTTGTTAATATTTAATAAGCTTTACTAATTGTTAACAAAAATGATTCTTAAATACTAGATGATTCGATAAATATTTATTAATAGTTTATTAATCATTCATCAAATTTAATTTATCAACAGTTGATTGATATTTTTAACTTCCCGCTAAGAAAATTGAAAATATTCAAAAATCAGGAAGTTATTGGTTTTATCCCGTTTTTCGAAAATCGAGTTTTCATCAGATCTCGACGTTTTGAGGTCGTAGGAAGCTTCCCTGACTATTCCTGCGAGGGTGTCACTATGTCTGTATGTATGTATGTGTATGTGTGTGTGTGTGTGTGTGTGTGTGTGTGTGTGTGTGTGT